TATTCAACAGGACCATTAAAATGAAATTGGATGAACTAAAATAGTTGATATTTATTTAAATGTGAATCTACCTAGATATATCCATAAAGTATGTAAATCGACTTCAAACAAATATAAATAGGTCATCCGTTGGGCTATGTCTGTACTTCTGGAAAACGCAACTACGTAATTCTATGCTAAATTTTGTAAGTTGTGCAAAATTTGATGTCAATCTGACTAACATGAGGAGTTTGATGCCCAATTTACCTGAAACCGGGGGAAAATATATATGGAAGCTCTATCCAAATATTAAGCGATTTGAAACAAACTTGTCACAGATTAGTTTGTTCTAATTTCAGAAAGTTTTGTTGCTATCAGCTCATTGGTTCCTTGGTGCGTCAATTACTTAAAATCAATCTATAATAAAAGGGAGCTATATCTAAATCTGGGCCGATTTTCACGAAAAAAAGCAGACATCACTCTAGGCTCAATTCAGTACGTTATGCCAAATTTCGTGCAAATCGAAAGGTATATAGCGACTTTGGTGCACCATTTACATGAAATCGGACGAAACTATATATGGGAGCTATATAGAAATCTGGACCGATTTTCTCGAAACTTGGCAGATATCACTCTAGGCTCATTTCAGTGCGTTATGCCAAATTTCGTGCAAATCGAAAGATATATAGGGACTTTGGGGCACCATTTACATTAAATCGGACGAAACTATATATGGGAGGTATATCTAAATCTGAACCGATTTTCTCAAAACTTGGCAGACATGACTCTGGGCTCAATTCATTACGTTATGCCAAATTTCGTGCAAATCGAAGGATATATATATAGGGACTTTGGTGCACCATTTACATGAAATCGGACGAAACTATATATGGGAGCTATATCTAAATCTGGACCGAGTTTCACGAAACTTGGCAGACATGACTCTGGGCTCAATTCTGTACGTTGTGCCAAATTTCGTGCAAATCGAAGGATATATAGGGACTTTGGTGCACCATTTACATGAAATCGGACGAAACTATATATGGGAGCTATATCTTAATCTGGACCGATTTTCACGAAACTTGGCAGACATAATTCTAGGCTCAATTCAGTACGTTGTGCCAAATTTGGTGCAAATCGAAGGATATATAGGGATTTTGGTGCACCATTTACATGAAATCGGACGAAACTATATATGGGAGCTATATCTAAATCTGGACCGATTTTCACGAAAATTGGCAGACATCATTCTAGACCTAAATGATTAGGCTGTACCAAATTTCGTGCAAATCGAAAGATATATAGGGACCGTTTACATTAAATCGGTTAAATATATATATGGGAGCTATATCTAAATCTGAACCGATTTTTCCCAATTTCAATAGGGTTCGTCCTTGGGCCGAATAAGTGACCTATGCCAATTTTCATCCAATTCGGATAATAAATGCGGCCTGTACTTTGTTTACAATTTAACATGGACAGACAGACGGACAGACGGACAGACGGACAGACGGACGGACGGACGGACGGACATGCATAAATCGACTTAGAAAGTGATTCTATGCATATTCTCAAAAGGAACCATGTGTCTATCTCGATTATTTTTGCCTGTTACAAACATATGCACAAAGACATAATACCCTGTACCACAGTGTGGTGAAGGGTATAAAAATATATATAAAAAAATTTAAAATGTGTATTTATTTGTTCCATTGAATTTTTCCTGCAATCTGGGCTTGGATTTTTTTCCACCAAGATTGGAATTTCGCCATTCGGGATTCAGGTTTTAAAAATATTTTTCTTATCTTATTTTTTGAGCTACGATAATACCACAATTCTCCCAAAAATATCACCATCCCTAGGCCGCATCCCTCCACCACAATCATCCATATCCAAAAGAGATCATCTACGGTTAAAATTTTCTGATCATCCAGATTGGTGTAGCCATCGAACAGGGAGATATTTCCCAATTTCATCATATCCATAAATGTGCTGGACTGCCAGGCCTCCATAAAACCCAACTCGTGCACCCTCAAGATGTGTTCATTTAACGGCTCAAGGTAGGGAGAATTTTTCTGCAGCAAAATACTGTAAATAAAAAAATCTTGCGGAATAATCTGACGGGCAATACAAAATTGTTTCTGCTTATAGAATTGTTGGCGCCTTGAAAAGAGGGCCTTCCATTCTGTGGAGGATATAAAATAGGCATACGAGCTATTAAAACGACTTTTTTGTTTCAGATAGGCCGTATCGCTTGGGGCTGTTACCACGGAATCTTTGCCATAGAAAGGCGTCAGGACTTGAGCATAAAATGTATCGGTTAGTATTTTTATCGGTGACTCCCGCAAATCCTGATGGGTCTCAATATATTTGTGATACGGTGGCTGGGTGAAAAGGGTTTTGATGTTCGCCCCAAATAGCACGGCAATATTTAGGCCAATAAATGACACCAACAGGTAAACAATTTTCAAGCTACGCCAGGGTGAGTTACTCGAGATGAAGGCCTGCCCAAATAACCCCGGTAGAATTTTTTCATTTAAAATAAAATTTATAAAATTCCAAAGGCCATCGAAATAGAAATCGACCACGGTATGGATTACCGAGAGCAGGAGATAACATCCCACCAGGCCTCCAAAGAAATATTTATTTAAAATCACTGCAAACACCTCACGATAGGTCAATTGCTTGGGGCAGGGTACCATCATAAAGGGTTTTATCATTTCATAATAAACCGTTTTCTGGATCTGCGGGAAGGTATTATCGCTGTGAAAGCTTGACGCCATGGGTATATCCAATTCTCCTTTGAGGCTAAGTTCATTGATGCTGCGATAGCTTAACATGTTGCCAAATTTAAAGGATTTATGCATTTCCAAAGTGGCATTAAAACGTTCCGCAAACAACATGATTAATCTGGCCATATAGCCATTCATTTGATACCTTCCATTCGCATCCAAGTATACCAGGCCGGCGGGTGGATCTTGGCCATTGAGGGTGATGAGAGTTTTGTTCCGCATATTCCGCCAATGGGGAGGATAATATGTATCCTGGTCAGACTTCTTGTGCCAATGATAGCTGGGATAGGGTTTAAGGACATACATTTCAGGTTGGCTCATATCCTGATGTCCTTGCAAAAAATACAGCAAAACATTTGTCATTTTGTAATTCTCTAAATTCCTGAGTAGCACCACTTTGAAGTCCTCTCTTTCAACACCTTCCTTGACATTTAAGGCCACAATAAATACTCTCCTTTGACGTTGATATTCCAAAATCGTGGATCCAATTGTCAGCAGCTCTAAATCCAAGTTTCCTCTCATTATAAAAATTGCCAATAATTCACTGTTGAAATGTTCGGCCATCAAAAAATCCTGGGATTTTGAAAAAATCAATTTAGGTATTGGGACTCTATAGAAAATCTCCAATCTTCTATCCTTTGCAACATCTTGGGGTTGAATAATTAGCAGAGACTCCACAGGCTGTTCCATGGTGATATCCTTTAAGATTTCCGGATAAATGTCCGTCTGGGAAGTATTCCTTAGAAAGAACCCAAAGGATGATGAGCCAGCACCGAGCAGATTACGAAATAGTAATAAATGTAGCCACACTTTAAGGCCGACAAACATGGTCCACAATTTTTGTAACTTCAGGTGGGAAGGAGAAAGACTAAAGAAGAAGAGGACAGAACATTATTAAAAAAATCTTTTTTGTTTTGTTTTAAATATTTTTTTCAAGCATCTACATTTTTGATTCGAAGTGGATGAAATGTGGCACAGCTCATTCATTTGGCCTCTGTATTTTCATTTCAAGTACCTGTCAGTATATCTATGGTATGGAGGGTATGCAAAGTTCAGCTCGGCCGAACATAACTCTTTTTCACTTGTTTTTAAATAATTTTTTCAAGCACCTACATAAGCCGTGGATTTTTTAAATAATTTTTTTTAAGCATCTAACCTTTGAAAGCACCTACATAAGGGGGGGTTTTTTTAGACTACCAAATGCGGAAATTTTAAATTAAATAAATATTTTCAAAACTTACCAAAGTAAAAATATTTTCTGTTGCTAATAGTCCGTTACGTTCCTAGTGGCTAATTAGATTACGTTTAATTGATAATTTTCATTTGCCCATTTATAAATACTGCTCCAACACTTAATTAATTAGAATTTCCGCTTGGTCATTTAAGACAATAATGTCTCTAATTGCTTTAGCTTTATCTGCAGTGTGTAATTAAGGAATGTGGTATATATTTAAATCTTTTATAAGTAAATAGTTAGTAATAGTTTTATGTAGGCCTTTGAAAAAATTATTTTAAAAATCCACGCCTTATGTAGGGTTCGGAAAAAATTATTTTAAAAATCCACGCCTTATGTAGGGTTCGGAAAAAATTATTTTAAAAATCCTCGCCTTATGTAGGATTCGGAAAAAATTATTTTAAAAATCCACGCCTTATGTGGGGTTCGGAAAAAAATATTTTAATAATCCACGCCTTATGTAGGATTCGGAAAAAAATTATTTTAAAAATCTACGCTTTATGTAGGATTCGGAAAAAAAATATTTTAAAAATCTACGCTTTATGTAGGATTCGGAAAAAAATATTTTAAAAATCCTCGCCTTATGTGGGGTTCGGAAAAAAATATTTTAAAAATCCACGCCTTATGTGGGGTTCGGAAAAAAATATTTTAAAAATCCACGCCTTATGTGGGGTTCGGAAAAAAATATTTTAAAAATCCACGCCTTATGTGGGGTTCGGAAAAAAATATTTTAAAAATCCACGCCTTATGTAGATCTTAGAAAAAATTATTTTAAAAATCCACGCCTTATGTAGGCCTTAGAAAAAATTATTTTAAAAATCCACGCCTTATGTAGGTCTTGGAAAATCTGTCTTTAAAAGATCCACGCCTTATGTAGGCCTTGGAAAAAATTATTTTAAAAATCCACGCCTTATGTAGGTCTTAGAAAAAATTATTTTAAAAATCCACGCCTTATGTAGGATTCGGAAAAAATTATTTTAAAAATCCACGCCTTATGTGGGGTTCGGAAAAAATATTTTAAAAATCCACGCCTTATGTAGGATTGGGAAAAAATTATTTTAAAAATCCACGCCTTATGTGGGGTTCGGAAAAAATATTTTAAAAATCCACGCCTTATGTAGGATTGGGAAAAAATTATTTTAAAAATTCACGCCTTATGTAGGATTGGGAAAAAATTATTTTAAAAATCCACGCCTTATGTAGGATTCGGAAAAAATTATTTTAAAAATTCACGCCTTATGTAGGATTCGGAAAAAATTATTTTAAAAATCCACGCCTTATGTAGGATTCGGAAAAAATTATTTTAAAAATCCACGCCTTATATAGCACTCGAAAAAATATTTTAAAAATCCACGCCTTATATAGCACTCGAAAAAATATTTTAAAAATCCACGCCTTATGCTAGGCCTGGGAAAAAATTATTTTAAAAATCCACGCCTTATGTAGGATTCGGAAAAAATTATTTTAAAAATCCACGCCTTATGTAGGATTCGGAAAAAATTATTTTAAAAATTCACGCCTTATGTAGGCTTCAGAAAAAATTATTTTAAAAATCCACGCCTTATGTAGGCTTCGGAAAAAAATTATTTTAAAAATCCACGCCTTATGTGGGGTTGGAAAAAATTATTTTAAAAATCCACGCCTTATGTAGGATTGGAAAAAATTATTTTAAAAATCCACGCCTTATGTAGGATTCGGAAAAAATTATTTTAAAAATCCACGCCTTATGTAGGATTCGGAAAAAATTATTTTAAAAATCCACGCCTTATGTAGGAAAAAAATTATTTTAAAAATTCACGCCTTATGTAGGATTCGGAAAAAATTATTTTAAAAATCCACGCCTTATGTAGGATTCGGAAAAAATTATTTTAAAAATCCACGCCTTATGTAGGATTCGGAAAAAATTATTTTAAAAATTCACGCCTTATGTAGGATTCGGAAAAAATTATTTTAAAAATCCACGCCTTATGTAGGATTCGGAAAAAATTATTTTAAAAATCCACGCCTTATGTAGGATTCGGAAAAAATTATTTTAAAAATCCACGCCTTATGTAGGATTCGGAAAAAATTATTTTAAAAATCCACGCCTTATGTAAGATTCGGAAAAAATTATTTTAAAAATCCACGCCTTATGTAGGATTGGGAAAAAATTATTTTAAAAATTCACGCCTTATGTAGGATTCGGAAAAAAATATTTTAAAAATTCACGCCTTATGTAGGATTCGGAAAAAATTATTTTAAAAATCCACGCCTTATGTAGGATTCGGAAAAAATTATTTTAAAAATCCACGCCTTATGTGGGGTTCGGAAAAAATATTTTAAAAATCCACGCCTTATGTAGGATTCGGAAAAAAATATTTTAAAAATCCACGCCTTATGTGGGGTTCGGAATAAAATATTTTAAAAATCCACGCCTTATGTAGGATTCGGAAAAAATTATTTTAAAAATCCACGCCTTATGTGGGGTTCGGAAAAAAATATTTTAAAAATCCACGCCTTAAGTTGGGTTCGGAAAAAAATATTTTAAAAATCCACGACTTATGTAGGCCTCGGAAAAAAATATTTTAAAAATCCACGCCTTATGTAGGCCTCGGAAAAAAATATTTTAAAAATCCACGCCTTATGTAGGCCTCGGAAAAAAATATTTTAAAAATCCACGCCTTATGTAGGCCTCGGAAAAAAATATTTTAAAAATCCACGCCTTATGTAGGTGTCGAAAAAAATTATTTTAAAAATCCACGCCTTATGTAGGTCCTAGAAAAAAATATTTAAAAAATCCACGCCTTGTGTAGGTCTTAGAAAAAATTATTTAAAAATCCACGCCTTATGTAGGTCTTAGAAAAAATTATTTTAAAAATCCACGCCTTATGTAGGTCTTAGAAAAAATTATTTTAAAAATCCACGCCTTATGTAGGTCTTAGAAAAAATTATTTTAAAAATCCACGCCTTATGTGGGGTTCGGAAAAAATTATTTTAAAAATCCACGCCTTATGTAGGATTCGGAAAAAATTATTTTAAAAATTCACGCCTTATGTAGGATTGGGAAAAAATTATTTTAAAAATCCACGCCTTATGTAGGATTCGGAAAAAATTATTTTAAAAATCCACGCCTTATGTAGGATTCGGAAAAAATTATTTTAAAAATTCACGCCTTATGTAGGATTCGGAAAAAATTATTTTAAAAATCCACGCCTTATGTAGGATTCGGAAAAAATTATTTTAAAAATCCACGCCTTATGTGGGGTTCGGAAAAAAATATTTTAAAAATCCACGCCTTATGTAGGATTGGGAAAAAATTATTTTAAAAATTCACGCCTTATGTAGGATTCGGAAAAAATTATTTTAAAAATCCACGCCTTATGTAGGATTCGGAAAAAATTATTTTAAAAATCCACGCCTTATGTAGGATTCGGAAAAAATTATTTTAAAAATTCACGCCTTATGTAGGATTCGGAAAAAATTATTTTAAAAATCCACGCCTTATGTAGGATTCGGAAAAAATTATTTTAAAAATCCACGCCTTATGTAGGATTCGGAAAAAATTATTTTAAAAATCCACGCCTTATGTAGGATTCGGAAAAAATTATTTTAAAAATCCACGCCTTATGTAGGATTCGGAAAAAATTATTTTAAAAATCCACGCCTTATGTAGGATTCGGAAAAAATTATTTTAAAAATTCACGCCTTATGTAGGATTCGGAAAAAATTATTTTAAAAATCCACGCCTTATGTAGGATTCGGAAAAAATTATTTTAAAAATCCACGCCTTATGTAGGATTGGGAAAAAATTATTTTAAAAATTCACGCCTTATGTAGGATTCGGAAAAAATTATTTTAAAAATTCACGCCTTATGTAGGATTCGGAAAAAATTATTTTAAAAATCCACGCCTTATGTGGGGTTCGGAAAAAAATATTTTAAAAATCCACGCCTTATGTAGGATTCGGAAAAAATTATTTTAAAAATCCACGCCTTATGTGGGGTTCGGAATAAAATATTTTAAAAATCCACGCCTTATGTAGGATTCGGAAAAAAATATTTTAAAAATCCACGCCTTATGTGGGGTTCGGAAAAAAATATTTTAAAAATCCACGCCTTAAGTGGGGTTCGGAAAAAAATATTTTAAAAATCTACGACTTATGTGGGGTTCGGAAAAAAATATTTTAAAAATCCACGCCTTATGTGGGGTTCGGAAAAAAATATTTTAAAAATCCACGCCTTATGTGGGGTTCGGAAAAAAATATTTTAAAAATCCACGCCTTATGTGGGTGTTTAAAAAAATTATTTTAAAAATCCACGCCTTATGTAGGTCTTAAAAAAATTATTTAAGGAATCCACGCCTTATGTAGGTCTTAAAAAAATTATTTAAGGAATCCACGCCTTATGTAGGTCTTAAAAAAATTATTTAAGGAATCCACGCCTTATGTAGGTCTTGGAAAAAATTATTTTAAAAATCCACGCCTTATGTAGGTCTTAGAAAAAATTATTTTAAAAATCCACGCCTTATGTAGGTCTTAGAAAAACTTATTTTAAAAATCCACGACCAACAATCAACACATTAATATCGACCATAAATTAAATTTGAGTACTATTTAGTACAAAATTCCATGGCTGGAGCTTTAAATGTTCACCCAAATCCAAATTTTATTTCATAAGTACCCATCTCGACCATCAATACCTCATACCCCGATCCTACAACGCCACAATGATTCCAATTGAAATTCCGGGATCCTAACTCTATTGGCTCACCCACAATTTCACTTGTACCAAATTTAGTACACAGTAGTACGAATTTCCAAAAATGCCTACATATCTCAATCTTACACCTCAAGAGTGATTCTGACTCCAAATTTCATGATTCTAGCTCTATTGGTTTAGCTAAAATTCAAATTGTACCAAATTTAGTACCGTTTAGTACACATAAGTATTATTTTCTTATACTGAATCCTGACCCCAATCCCACACCCCTACGGTGATCCAAACTTCAAATTTCATTGTTTCCGCTCTATCGGTTCACCCAAATCCAAACTGTATCGATTATAGTACGATTTAGTACTTTTCGTACACACAAGTAACAAATTTCTAAAACTACGTTCATATCGGAATCCTACACTCCGACGGTACTTTTAATTTTCAAATTCCAGAATTCCAGCTCGATTTGTATCTCCAAATTAAATGTGTACCAAATATAGTACCATATAGTACTTTTCATACACATGAGTACATGCTTTCAAAATCATCTCTTTAAATGGACTCTACTTCTCAACCATAATTCACACGCCAAATTTCAAGTTTTTAGCGCTATCCGTTCAAATGCTACATAATTGTACCAAATTTAGTACATTTTCGTACTATCCTAGACTCCATCAGCGACCACTAAACGAAATTTCATAGTTTTAGCTGCACCGGTTCGCCAAATGCAAATGGTATCACATTTAGTACTTTTCGTACCGTTCTAGTACGAATTTCCAAAAACCCAGCCTTATCTGTCACCATTGGACCAAGAGTGACCCTTACCCACCCTCACCCTTCAGCCGTTTCGTCTGGGCCTTGATGAATCGTTAAATCAGTCAGTCACTTTATTTTTAATTATTTATTATTATATTACTTCTTCGATATTTACGATAAATTTCCAAAATAAATGCGGCCGTACTCAGACCATATCCAATGAGTAGAATAATCCATAACCAAAATAAATCCTCTGGTCTTAATACCCTGACTTCCTGCTCAGGATTTGGATCTTCTAAGGATATCATTTTAAGTCTAACCATATCCACAAAGGTACTGGAATACCAGGGTATAGATAGACCACATTCATGCACCCGATGTATGAGATAATTTAGGGCCTCCCGATATGGTGAATTCTCCTGCAGGGCAATGGAAAATGGTGGCTTGGGTAGTTGCAGTTTTTCATTGGTACAAAATAATTTATGGGAAAAATAATTTTGCTGTTGGGCGACAAATTTCCAACGATTCAAGGTTACCAAATAGCCATAGGAGGTATCCAGCCGGTTGCGTTTTCCAACCACATATGAGGTGTTGGCGGAGGAGATATAGGCCCTTCCTATTGTGGGTAGCCATTCCTTGTAGTCCTTTACATCGATTGCATCGAGAAGGATTTTTAGAGACGATTGTTTTTTCAGTTCCTCAAAGGTGGATATCTGCGGTTTTTGGGGTTGTGAGGTAAAGAGGGTATTCACTTTGGCGGAGAAGAGAATACTAATGTTAAGTCCTGCCACAAATGCCAGAAAGTAGATGATATTTAAACCATTCCATTTCGAGGGTCTCATATCGTTTGACTGGCCCAAGAGGCTGGGAAATATTTTCAGATTCAGAATTAGGTTTAAATAATTGCGAACACCATCAAAAATCACATCTACGAAGTAGTGTATCAGGGAGAGCAGCAGGGTACATATGAAAATATAACCAAAGAAGGGTACATTGAGCAGTATACCAAACACCTCCCTTAGGCTAAGTTCTCCGGAACAGGGTAACATCAACATAACATGACTGAGATCAAAAACATCGGAAAGGTAACGCATTGTCCGGTTACCATCCCCAGAGGCCAAGACCATGGATATATCCAATTTATTTTCATATGTCCATTTATTAATGAGGCTATAGTGGATAATCTCTCCCACTTTGAGGGGTTTAAACATCCTCAGTGTGGCATTGTATTTTTCGGCAAATAATAAGATCAGTCTTGCCGTGACACCATTTATTTTCACCCTGCCATTTTTATGCAAATACGCCAAATTTCCGGGGGTAATTTGAGAGGTGGCCGTTATGAGGGTTGTGTTTTGTAAATTACGCCAATGTGGGGTGTAAAAAATACCACCGTTCTTTTGTAGATTTTTCTCTAGCCAATGGTACCTTGGGTAGGGTTTTAATTCGTAATAATCGTAGTGATCCCTCTGACTTTCATCCCAGGGGAATAATTTCATCAGAACCTTTGTCATTTTGTAGAGGTGGCACAGAGCCAAAATATTCCTCTTAATCCGACGAACCTCCTCTCCCTTCTTCTCACCTTTCAGCAGGGCAAATATCAGTATCCTCACCTGCCGCATATTATTCAATGTCAATGCCAACCCCTCAAAACTCCCCGGCTCTTGGCCAAAAGACAGCAACACCACCACCAAGACATCCATACCAAATTTTTGCCTGAAAGGAAAATCGGTGGCCTGATTTTCCACCAACACCTTGACTGCAGGAAATCTGTAGACTGCCTCCGCTAGATCCTCTTTCCACTTCGAATCTTGTCATACCAACAAGGTATTGAATTGATTTTCCTTTTGTATGCCATGTAAGAATTGTTCCATAACCTGCGATTCATTGGAATGATTTTGCGAAATTTCAATCCTCAAACAATTCCGATTGTCCACCGAAAATATTATCCAAATTGCCGTAAAGACAATACCGTTCACACCTAACATTATGACTGTTAGCAGGTCTTAAATGAAATTGTATGACAAGTCGTGGTTAATGTCTTTTGTTTATTTTTTATTTTTACACCAGCAAATTATCGAATAATTATCGTGGTGTAATGTTAACAAATATTAAACAATACTAAAATCTGTCTTCGATACCCCCATACCCTAGACTACACCCTCCCCCTAGGCACACACACACAAACAAATATATAAATATTTTGTGATTTTGTCCTAGGTAATTTTCGTTAAACACCCTATGATTAATATATAATTAAAGAAAGGGTATACATAAATGGTGTGAAGAGTAATGAAAACAATAAAGGGAATACTTTTTAGAATGTGGATTTTTGTAGAATATTTTAAAAGACAATATTTTTTTTAAGGTATAAGACAAGGCGTGAAAATTTTTTTAAAATATTTTTCCAAAGTCTATCATCAGGCGTGGATTTTTATATCCTTCACCACCCTGTGGTACAGGGTATTATGTCTTTGTGCATATGCTTGTAACAGGCCAAAGGAAACGAGATAGATCCATAGTTCCTTTTGATAATATGCCCGACCGTCTGTTGGTGTTAAATTCTAAACAAAGTACAGGTCGCATATATAACCGTATTGGATGAAATTTGGCACAGCTCATCTATTTGGCCCAAGGACGAATCCTATTGTAAAAGTGGAAAAATCGGTTCAGATTTAGATATAGCTTCCATATATATTTTCGTCCGAATGGTGCACCAAAGTCCTTATATTTATTTCGGTTTGCACGAAATTTGGCACAGCGTATTATAACGACAGATTTTCCCTTTAGGCTGGAGTAAGCTCGCCGGGGCCACGGTTCGCAACAGAAAATTTGTTTGTGTGCGAGAGAGAAAGAGATGGATTTATATACAAAGGAATCTTAAATATTACTTAATACTACTGAGTTGACTTCTGTCCGAGGTTGAATGGGTAAATTTAGCCGTCCTCAGAAATGGAGACCTTGATAAGTGCTCCTGGTGGGGAATGGACTGGGATACTGGGAGTCGGAGACCTGGTTAAGTACTCTCACAACCGGATACTAGGATTTGGATTTTCCAGTTACGTAGATCTGTTGGGAAAATATGCTAGGGGATACGCACCGACTCTAGTACTCAAGCAAGGATACGAAAGGATTCTACTGCAAGAGACCTTAATAAGTACTCAAGCAAGGATACGCAAATAATTCTACGGCAAGATACCTTAGAGAGAACTAATCAAGCTAAGGATACGAAGGATTCTACTGCGAGAGACCTTAATAAGTACTCAAGCCAGGATACGAAAGGATTCTACTGCAAGAGACCTTAATAAGTATTCAAGCAAGAAGTACTCTTAGAAGGGATATGAAAGGATTCTACTGCAAGAGACCTTAATAAGTACCCCAGCAAGGATAAGAAAGGATTCTACTGCGAGAGACCTTAATAAGTACTCAGCAATGATACGAAGAGGTACTAAGAGACCGTAAGAAAGGATTCTACTAAAAGAGACATTAATACTAAGCTCAAAGGATTCTAAGAGACCTTACTAAGTACTTAAGCAAGGATACGAATGGATTCTACTGCAAGAGACCTTAATAAGTACTCAAGCAAGGATACGTAAGGATTCTACGGCAAGAGGACTTAGTAAGTACTCCAGCAAGGATACGAAAGGATTCTACTGCGAGAGACCTTAATAAGTACTCAGGCAAGGATACGTAAGGATTCTACTGAAAGAGACCTTAATAAGTACTCAAGCAAGGATACGTAAGGATTCTACTGCAAGAGACCTTAATAAGTACTCAAGCAAGGATACGAAAGGATTCTACTGCAAGAGACCTTAGTAAGTACTCAAGCAAGGATACGAAAGGATTCTACTGCGAGATACCTTAATAAGTACTCAAGCAAGGATACGAAAGGATTCTACGGCAAGAGACCTTAGTAAGTACTCAAGCCAGGATACGAAAGGATTCTACTGCGAGAGACCTTTATAAGTGCTCAAGCCAGGGTACGAAAGGATTCTACTGCGAGAGACCTTAAAAAGTATTCAAGCAGAATAAGAAAGGATTCTAGTGCAAGAGACATTAATAACTACTCAGGCAAGGATACGTAAGGTTTCTACTGCAAGAGACCTTAATAAGTACTCAAGCAAGGATATGAAATGAGTCTACGGCAAGAGACCTTAGTAAGTACTCAAGCAAGGATACGAAAGGATTCTACTGTGACATACGTTAATAAGTACTCAGGCAAGGGTACGTAAGGATTCTACTGCGAGAGACCTTAATAAGTACTCAGGCAAGGATACGTAAGGATTCTACTGCAAGAGACCTGGATAAGTAGTCAAGCAAGGATACGGAAGGATTCTACGCAAGATACCTTAGTAAGTACTCAAGCAAGGATACGTAAGGATTCTACTGCAAGAGACCTGGATAAGTACTCAAGCAAGCATTCTACAAAGCAAGGATACGGAAGGATTTCTTTGGGAATAGGGACCTGGATAAGTACCCTAGGACGGTTATTATTAAAGAATAAATACCAATACATGGTGTGGGCAAAATTGAGTGGCACGATTTTTGGTCGTCACAGTACTGAATTGCGGCTAGAGTGATGTCTGCCAATTTTCATGAAAATCGATTCTGATTTAGATATAGCGCCCATATATATTTTCGTCCGATTTTAGATAAATGATGCACCAAAGTCCCTGTATATATATTTCGATTTGAACGAAATTTGACATGATGTGCTGAATTGCGCCTAGAGTGATGTCTGCCAAGTTTCGTGAAAATCGGTTCAGATTAAGATATAGATCCCATATATAATTTCGTCCGATTTTATGTAAATGGTGTAGCAAAGCCCCTAAATATCCTTCTATTTGCACGAAATTTGGCATAGCGTACTGAATTAAGTCTACAGCGATGTGTGTCAAATGTCATGAAAATCAGTTCAGATTTATATATTTTCGTCCGATTTAAGGTAAATAGTGCACAAAAGTCCCTATATATACTTCGAATTGCACGAAATTTGGCATGACGTACCGAATTGCGCCTAGAGTGATGTCACGAAATTTAGATATAGCTCCCATATATATTTTCGTCCGATTTTAGGTAAATGGTGCACCAAAGTCCCTATATATATTTCGATTTGCACGAAATTTGGCATAGGGTTCTAAATAAAGTATACAGTGATGTGTGTTAACTTTCGCGAAGATCGGTTCAGATTCCTATATAGCTCCCATATATATTTTCGTCCGATTGTAGGTAAATAATGCACCAAAGTCCTTATATATCCTGCGATTTGCACGAAATTTGGAATGATGTGCTGAATTCCGCCTAGAGTGATGTCTGCCACGTTTCGTGAAAATCGGTTCTGAGTTAGATATAGCTCCCATATATATTGTTGTCCGATTTTATGTAAATGGTGTAGCAAAGCCCCTAAATATCCTTCTATTCGCACGAAATTTGGCTTAGCGTACTGAATTAAGTCTACAGCGATGTGTGGCAAATTTCATGAAAATCGGTTCTGATTTAGATGTAGCTCCCATATATATTTTCGTCCGATTTTAGGTAAATGGTGTACAAAAGTCCCTATATATCTTTCGTGTGCATGACGTACTAATTTCAGAACGATGTGTGTGAAAATCGGTTCAGATTTATATATAGCTCCCATATATATTTCCTCCGATTTAAGTAAATGGTGCACCAAGGTCTCTAAATATCTTTCGATTTGCTCGAAATTTGGCATGACGTACTGAATTGCGCCTAGAGTGATGTCTGCCTAATGGCGTGAAAATCGGCTCAGATATAGATATAGCTCACATATATATTTTCTTCCGATTTAAGGTAAATGGTGCACCAAGGACCCTAAATATCTTTCGATTTGGACGAAATATGGCATGAAGTACTAAATAAAGTCTAGAGTGATGTGTATTAAGTTTTGTGAAAATCGGTTCAGATTTATATATAGCTCCCATATATATTTTCGTTCGATTTAAGGTAAATGGTGCATCAAAGTCCCTATATATATTTCGATTTGCACGAAATTTGGCATAATGTGCTGAATTGCGCCTAGAGTGATGTCTGCCAAGTTTCGTGAAAATCGGTTCAGTTTTAGATATAGCTCTCATATATATTTTCGTCAGATTTAAGGTAAATGGTGCACCAAAGTCGCTAAATATCCTTCCATTTGCACGAAATTTTGCACAGCGTACTGAATTAAGAGTAGAATGATGTGTGTTAAGTTTCGTGAAAATCGGTTCAGATTTAGATATAGCTCTCATATATATTGTCGTACGATTTAATGTAAATGGTGTACCAAAGTTTCTATATATACTTCGATTTGCACGAAATTTGGCACAGCGTACTGAATTGCGCCTAGAGTGATGACTGCCAAGTTTTGTTAAACTTGGTTCAGATTTAGATATAGCTCCCATATATATTTTCGTTCGATTTTAGGTAAATGTTGCACACCGTATCAAATTAAGACTTAATTGACGTTATTGGGTTTTGTTGAAATTGGTGCAGATGCAGCCATAGCTTCCATATG